CTCTCGCGCGCGCGCGCGCGCGCGCGCGTGCGTGCGCAACTGAGTTGCGATCTTGGTTACCATATCTCTGAGTTCTGAGTGGGCGCATGTCGCCAGTTTGCTGCGCACCTGTTTGCATGCATGGAAAGTGTGGAAGAGAGCGAGTCTCATTGCACACACACACACACACACACACACACTGACACTCAATCAATCAATCAATCAATCAATCAATCAATCAATCAATCTAATCAATCAATCAATCAATCAATCAATCAATCAATCAATCAAACATTTTTTTTGTTTATTTGTTTTTTAATTTTGCATATGCAATTTTTTTTAAACACCTCATTTCCCTACAAAAAACAGAAATTCATTTCACAAAAAAAACAGGTCGACTCGGGGACCATATATGTCAGGATAAAAAATGACAAAAAAAAATTCCTGCTTTTTTTAAATCGATTTCAGTTTTTGATTTTTTTAAAATCTTAAACAAAGTCGGATTCCAAAACAAAAAATATGGGAGTGTAGGGTTTTCCAAGCCCTACACCCCCATATTTGTTTTTGTTTTTTTTTACGTATTTTTAGGGGGTGAAAAAAAATATTGAAAAAACAGACCGCAGAATGAGCCTCATTGGCCGCGGCCGCGGTCGAGAAAGTCGGCCGGAGCGGCCGAAATGCCCGTTGCCTAGGCTGGGGGTGTCACATAGGTACGAGGTGTTCGTCAAGCGTCCGACTATAGACCAAGATATCATCGAGATAGATGAGGAAGGTTGTCGGGGTATTGGTGAGTCCGAATGGCATCACGACCCACTCAAAATGCCCATACCGCGTTTTGAAGGCAGTCTTGTACTAGTCTTGAGGTTGGGTTTCAATCTGGTTGTAACCCAACTTCAAGTCCAACTTCGAGAAGTACGTCGCGCCGCCCAACCACTCAAGGAGATCATCGATCTGAGGGAGAGGGTCGGCGTTCTTTACGGTTTGTGCATTAAGTTTCCTATAGTCGATGCACAACCTTAAGTCATTGTTCTTCTTCCGGAGGAAGAGAACAAGTGCACCGTATGGCGAACAACTGGGGCGAATCCAGCCTTTGTCGAGGAGGTCGTCGAGTTGTGCGCGAAGCACCTCGCGTTCCTCTTCACTCATGCGGTAGATGCATCCACGCTGAGGGACGACGCCAGCCTCGAAGACGTATGGGTCGATCCGGAACCGTTCCGGTGGGAGCCTCGAAGACGTCTCCATACCCATCTAAGAGGTGAGTGATGCGTGGGTCCGACGACGATGCGGCTGGTCCGTCCGTCAAGGGGAGGGCGTGTAAGAAAACAAGGTCCACCTCCTCTACGTCATTCCGAGCTATGACATCATGAACTCTCGCAATGGAAACCACATGACAAGTAATCGAAGTGTGAGGAGTTGCGACTGTACATGAGACTAACACTCCGTTCCGATCACGGACGTGAACGGTTCGGTCATGAAAGTTTACCAAATGGTCGGCGACTCGGCGCTACGCAACCAAGACATGCCTAGAATCATGCCGAACTTGGTATCGAGGATGTCAAAAGACCCCGGCCCGCACGTAAGGGGTGCAAAGCACACCGGAATGCCGTCAACGCATCGGTCAATTGACTTTTGCATGCGGTCGTCCACGAGTGTGACTTGCGTAGGTTGCGTCTCCCTTTGAACGTGGGGGCCGAGGCCCGCCCGGGCCACAAAGGCTTGGCTCATAAAGGTGCGAGACGCTCCGCAATCAATCAAGGCACTGCAAGTGACCTTTCTGATTTGAATGTGGACATAGAGCAAAGGAGCGCCGGTGTCGACGTACCTTTGGGTGGCGTGCTTGCGGTCAATGTTTGCAAGATAGGAGCGGAGATCGACAACCGCTACTCCGTCGTCCGTCAATGGAGCTGGTGCTCCAGCGTGCAAGTAGGAGAGTAGATATGCCATCAAGGCGCTACAATGCTGCTTTGGCAGAGATCCGGTCGAGTTTAGAGGCATCTAAGATAAGTCCTCTCTCGTGAGCGGGTCGAGGTCCTCAATCCTTGACCACGCCGTTGAGTCCTCGGAATTAAGTGGCGAACTGAACGTTTCTCTTGCCGATGGTTTACAAGCCACGCATACGCTATCTACGTGCGCGTGGCTAGGCTGGTCGAATGGTGGCACCAGCTGGGCGATATAATCCTCGTATGTGCTACGAGAATCAGCGACTAACGCATGCTCCCCGACAGTGATATCGGTTGTTAGCAAGGCAACCGGTTTCGGCGGAGTGTGGAGAGGCATCACCCCTCTCCATGCGCAACTCAGTTTCCTGAGTTAGCTGGACGGGGTACCTTTGCCTTGCCCTTGTTCAGGCATTGTGCAGTAGTGTGGTTTACATTGTTGCACCAAAAACAGTACCCATACCGTTGTCGAAGTTCAAAAATTTCCTTGGTGATGTTGTAATCTGTCCATGGTTGCTGCCCAGTCTCCGTCGCTGTCGTCCCTTGTGTTGCCTTGTTCTTCCCAACCCTTTTAGGACGTTTCGGCGGGAGCGCTGCGACAACTCCCCCATCACTCGAGGAGGCTGCTGCAGTGTGGAGCTCAGGTGATCCGTCAACGATCACCACATTGTTATGCACCGGCCTTCGGTAGCCTTGCTTAGCCACATATTGCGGTTGGGACTGCCTTTCGTTGGTGGCCTTGTCATCCGTTTGGATGATCAGGTTAGCAAGGTCAAGGATGGTCCTGAATGAGGCATAGTCGTACTTATTTCCAAGTGTTGATCGCCTATGTGATCGTTTGAACGCGTTGAACGCGCGTTCCTGTTTGAACGCCCGCGTTCAAACAGTCGTGGGCCGCATTAATACACATTCAAACACGCTCTGCGCCACATGGCGCGAATCTGTCGAATGCGACCCACCCTGCCATATGAGCACGCTGTGCGCCACGGGTAAGGGGAATTGGATTTTCAAAAAAAAATAATAATAAAAATTGTGGCAGTGTATATTTTTATGTACTAGCCGAAGATTCATTCAATTTTGCTCATCAAATCGATAAAAGTACCATGAGGTAGGCTGTGCTGTTGGAGACTTACCT